GCTTGACTTGGAAAAGTCTTTGATGAATTTCAGAGATCCACACACCCATACATAACATATCTTTAACTCTCCTTATATACATATACCCAAAAAAGAAGTTAAGTTGTTATCGAAGTCTCTATTAAATTGATTGATGTTGATCAAGAATCTTGAATTTAGAGTAGATGCAGCCAAAAGCTTGACTTCGAAAAGTCTTTGATGATCATCTGTGTATGGGCAGAGCTAGAATTTTAAGATTAGGGGGGCTAAAGATAAAAAACACAAGTATATCAAATACATATAAGTGTTCAAAACACATGTTAGAACTAAATGTTTCAAAATTAGTCATGCCTAATTATTTTTAAAGGGACCATTAATTTAAATTACAAGTTTCTATTAGTAAGTTGTATATATTACATCATATAATATAGGAGGGAAGTCAAAAAATTGGAGGCCCGGCCCGATTAAGCCCATGAAAGCCCGGCCCGGCCCACCCACAAAAGTCCAGCCCGTTAGGCTCGCATACATATATAATTGTGTATAAATAAGGGTTTAGGATTATGATTACATCACTTGAATGACAAATCCCCCTCTTTCATTTTTTTGTGTGTGTTACTTGTTTGAAAAATTGTGTTTCTATTGAATTCTACTCATTCCTAATTTATAATTGGATGATTAGCACATTAATTTGTGTCATTTATTAATACAATAATTATATATATATAATAAGACGAACAACATATCATATCACCAAATATAATCATACTTTTCTTTAACACATCACCAAACATTTGCATATTTATTCATACCATCCTTATAAAAAAAATAATTTTTTTTTACACTTATTATTTTTTAGGCCCATTTCAACCCGGCCCATGAGATGGGCTTAGGCTTTGAATTTTCTAAAAAAGCCCGGCCCGGCCTGGCCTGATATTTTCTCTCTCCTCTTTAAAGCCCGGTTCGGCCCGACCAAAGCCCATTAAATTTGGGCTGGGCTAGCCCAGCCCGGCCCATTAACGAGCCCTAGTTAAGTTGTTATCGAAGTCTCTATTAAATTGACTGATGTTGATCAAGAATCTTGAAATTAGAGAGTAGATGCAGCCAAAAGCTTGACTTGGAAAAGTCTATTTTAAATTAATCTAAATCAAATCCAACACTAAAACTCACTCAAAACTCTATAAATACCCACCCATTTCTCAAATAATCCACCAAAAATTATATTTGTGGAATTTCAATTTTTAAAGGTTAAAATCTTCAAAAAATTAAATTATTAAGTTATTTAAAAAAGATTAAATGAAGAAACGTTATCCATTTAAAAAAATTAGACTTAAACCATTATTAAATAATTTAATAAAGTTACGACTTAAAATTTGAGTATAAAGAGTTTGGTGAAAAAACTGTTTGAGTCCGGGGCAAACCCAAATAGTTACTTTTTGGAGAGGGAAAATTTGGGTATAGCCCCAAATGGGTTGGAGAATGCCTAATGGGATGCATTATGCGAGGGCAATCTCACTGAAGGGTCAGGTACTCCTTGCCTATAAATAGGTAATGGTTTGTGTGCATTGTACAAGCCTGAGTAAAAAAGAAGAGTGAGGATCATATAAAGAGAAAGAAAGAGAAATTCTGAGAGAGTTTTCTTACCATTGTAGTGCATCAAGGATAAATGGCAAGAGGAGTTAATTGTATTGCTCCAGAAACCATCATGAACCTTATTATGCTCATTTCGGTTCTCTGCTTATGTACCAAATCAGTCAAAGTTGAAGCACGAGCTTCGCGTCTGCCTACTGCAGAAGGTAACTTACTCTTCTTCTTGTTTAAGTCTGTATGTATTGGTAATACTAATATCCATGCATTCACTCAAGCCTCACTTCAATCAAGTTTTAGCGGCAGTATGCTAATGTTTTGATTTTTTCACTAAAAAATTGTAATTTTGGACTGAAGGAATCAAACCAAACCACAATTAGTTTTGTATGGTTTGTTTTGACCTTTTTGAAACCCTCTAAACTAAATCAAACCCACCTCTCATTTATTTATTTATTTATTTTTCCAACACTTGGTATTATTCGTTATCATCCTTCACTAACACGTTTGATCTCATCCATTGATATCAACCGTTTAATACAAAAATTAAAATACATAACCCATTTGAATTTGATGCTATCTCTCTCTCTCTCTCACACACACACACTAAGAATTTCTTCATATTCAAAGGTTGTTTTCTCAACTATTGTTCAATTTACAACATGAAACTCTCTTTATAATGTGTTCAATTATTCCCAATAAAGGAACTAAGGAATAAGTAAAAGAATGAATATGCATGAGATCAGCTACTACCATTCAATCAATCTAGTTTCTTTTTAGGTATTGGATTGTATCTTTTAATGTGAAATTCATACAAGTTTTATTCTTATATGTTAGTAAATGCAATAGAATTAGGGAATAATTCAAATACTCATCTGTTAATAGTAATCATTAGGAAAGTCAGATTTTAGAATAGGTTTTTTATTTATTTATCACAAAACGTCTTTGAGGTTCACGAAACTATCAGATTGTGTCCTTGTTTTTTTGTTTTTTGTTATTCGTGGTTCTCAAGGTTAATATGTGTGCTCACAAATAGTCATTCTGTCAAAAACTCTGTTGGTTTGTTGATGTGGCATATATATGGAGCCCACATATTCAATAATATAGTGCCATACGT